TTTCTGAGGAACCTCCACAGTGTTTTCCATAGTGGTTATAGCAATTTACACTCCCAAGAGTGCACCAGGGTTCCCTTTTCTCAACATCCTCACCAAAACTTATTTCTTGTCTTTTTGACAGTAGCCATTCTAAGAGTTGTGAGGTAATACCTCATATCCAATTGGATGCCTTTTATTTATTTTTCTTGCCTAATTGCTCTGGCCAAGACTTCTAATACTATGTTGAATAAAGTGGCAAGAGTAGGCATCTTTGTGTTGTTCCTGAAGAGTAGGCATCTTTGTGTTGTTCCTGATCATAAAGAAAAAGCTTTCAGCTTTTCACCACTGAGTATGATGTTAGCTGTAGGTTTGTAATACATGGCCTTTATTATGTGGAGGTATATTCTCTCTATACCTTCTTTATTGAGAGTTTTATCATAAATAGATGTTAATTTAGTCAAATGTTTTTTTGGCATCTATTGAAAAAATCATGTTATTTTTATCCTTCATTTTGTGGATGTTGAACCAACCCTGCATCTCTGGAATAAATCCCATTTGATCATGGTGTATGATCTTTTTAATGTATTGTTGAATTTGGTTTGGTAATATTTCATTAAGAATTTTTGCATCTATGTGCATGAGAGATACTGGCTGGTAACTTTCTTTTCCTATGATGTCCTGGTCTGGTTTTGGTGCACTAGCTCTTTAAAACTGCTTCCCAAAGCAAGTCTCATGGCTACACTTCAAATAAGCAGAGAAGTATAATCCTACCATGTACCAAGGAAAGAGAATGCAAATATTTAACAGCCTTCATCACTACTATAACTGAGAAATCAGAGGAAACACCTTTGATTATTGCTCTGTACTATTTTTATTGTTTTATCATTTTGCAAAGAATATTATGTTACTTTCTCATTTAACTTCAATTTATAGAAAAGGAAACAAGGGGCCACACAACAGTTGATTCAGTGGGCCATGACTTTTCCCCCACTATTTTATTTTTAAAAAGTCAAACATGTAGAACAACTGAAAAAACTGCTCAGTGAGTACTCACAAAGCCAACTTTTTGCTATATTTCCTTCATCACATATCTATTCATCAATTAAGCTAACCTTTTATTCATTTCAAAGTTGGCTGCAGACAGCAATATATTTTACCCCAAACATCATGAGAGTTCAATATTTATAATCTATATTTTTAAAGTTAAATTATATAATAAAATGAATAAGTGTATACTGAGATTTAAATTCTGATAAATGCATTCACCCATGTAGCCAAAAACTCTATCAAGATATATACCTTCCATCATCCCAGGAAATTCCCTCACATTGGGCCTTGGTTTCAACACAGGATTTGTCTCCAGAGTCCACAGTCTTTTTCACACACTACACTATTTCTTTGAAAAAGCCCCAAAGTGTGCCCTGGCCGGTTTGGCTCAGCAGTTAGAGTGTCGGCCCGCGGACCAAAGAGTTGCAGGTTTGATTCCTGTCAAGGTCATGTACCTTGGTTGGGATTCGTTGCTGGCCCTGGTCAGGGTCATGCGGGAGGCTACCAACCGACGTCTCTCTCTCACATCGAGGTCTCTCTCTCTTCCTCTCTTCCTTCCTCCCCCTCTCCCTCCCACTCTATCTGAAGATAAATAGAAAAATATCCTCAGGTGAGGATTAAAATAAATAAATAAATAACCCCAAAGTGTAAATACATTAAACATTAAGAATTTTATTTCTAACCCCCAATAAGTAAGGTAGTTGGAATATGGAAATATGATAGGAAGGAAATATCAGAGAGCCCAGGTATTTAATAATATCTGAGGCAAGTTGACAGGGTCACCTGCCCTCCATTGACTCGCACTAAATAAACAAAAACTTCTACTTCCCTCCCCAAGAGTTCAAGAGTTAATCCAGGAGGGATGAATGTGACAGTAAAAACCACCCCATATTCATCTCTTGCATGTTTAATTACTTAGGGCCAACACCATTTCTGACGCTTGAGAGGCAAGTACAGGGTGAAGTGCTATATGCTTCACTGCTTACTGTGAGAGGCAGTGGGGAACTGGAGAAAAAGAGACCATTTTGTAATCAACCAAATCTGGATTCAAATCTCTTCCTACTTATTAGCCACACAAACCTGTACAAATTACTCAACTCTTCTAAGCTTCAGTATCTCACCTGTAAAATGAGGCCTATGCTTTGCCTTCCTTTCAATGTCAGGTTTCTCAAATGACCTACAGGCAGAACCAGACAAGAAAAGCCTCTACTGTGGACCTCAAGCTTCAGGGGGAACAGCACTGGCCCTCTAGCAGCTACGCCCCTCCCCAAGAGTGAACAGACCTTAGGACCAGAGATATGCACACCGTAAACCCGCCCGTCTGCCACAGACTATGTTCTGGGTAATACAGACCCAGGAATTCCCTGCCCGCACAGCAGCAAACCTGGCTGCCAAGGTCTGCTCCTGAGAGTGTGTGGATAAAAGTGAATGAGGAGTGGGGGTTCAAACATATATGTAAAGCCACCCCTCGGGGTATAGAATGGTGTGTGGGGTAAAAAGAGATATGGGTTTTAGGCACAGAAGGTGGAGTGGGCTTGGCCCATGCAGACACATTTTGGCATGTAACTCTAAGGAATCTAGGAATTCTTATCTCAAACCTGAATTTCAAGATCCATATGAAAATGCTATCCTTCAAATTAGAAGGATAAACATATTTTATGTAACAGTTTGTTAATTTAACTTATACATACATGCTATGTGGGTCTTCATTTATATTTGCTCCAGACCCTACAAATGTTACAAATGTGCCTGTCTGTATCTGCTACTAGTACCCTCACATGCGTATTGCCATATTCACTTTCAAACATTATGTTAGTTATATGACATTATCATGAATTCAACTACATTAACCCCATCACACAAAGAAACAGACATGTTTAAACCTACCCAGCACCCTTGTATTCTTTCTTTGTTAAATGGGGAAAATATTTACTTCACAAATTTGTTGGGATTAAATGAAATACTTTATATAAAGTACCTGAACACAGTAATCACTTAAAAATCGATAATTTTCCCTCTTCTTACCAGTCTTTTGTTATCCTTTTCTTTTTTTAAATTTATCTTTATTGTTACAAGTATTACAGATGTCCCCTCATTTTCCCCCCACTGACCCTCCCCACCCCGCTCCCGCCCATTCTATCTCCATACCATTCTCTTCTTAACTCCCAAATATCTGAGTTTCCTCCTCCACCATATCATCACTACTACACGCTCCAGACAATGTGCCTGTAAATCCCTAAACCATTCCTTACTCTCCATGACCTCTTTAGCACCTGACAGTGTTAAAATTTTTCCTTTCTCAGAACAGCATTCCCTTCAGCTTGTAAGGCTAGACTATTTCCATTCTTCTCTTAGCTTCTGCTCTTTCTCTGGCTCCCCTTCTTACAGAGTTTTTGTGAAAAATGAGTAAGATAATGTTTCTGGATGGTGTCAGCATAAAGCATACTCAATAAAAGGTAGATATTTTTTAATCTAAAAAGACTAACTACCATTTTTAAGTACAGTGCCAGTTGCTCTACTAGGTGATAGGCGCACGCACACATGCACATACTCCATTTATCCTAATAGCATAAAATTGGAGCTCAGATTGGTTGATGAATTAACTTGTTTTAGAAACCTGGTTCCAACGCTTGCTAGCTTTATGATCCTGAGTAAGTCACTTAACTTCCCTGAGTTTCTGCTTCTCCATTTGTGTAGTCTTACAACATTCTTGAGAGAATTAAATGAAACACAGGATATAAAACACACAGCACAGCCCTGGTTGCTTTGGTTCACTGGTTAGAGCGTTGGCCTGCGGCCCAGAGAGACCCAGGTTCGGTTCCCACTAAAGGCATGTACCTCGGTTGCAGTTTGTCCCCGGCCCTGGTTGGTCGTGCAGGTGGCAGCCACTTGATGTGTCCCTTTCACATCGATGTTTCTCTCTCTCTCTCTCTCCCCCTCCCACTCTCCCTGAACAAAAGGTGGAAAAATGACCTCAGGTGAGGATTAAAAAAAAACCACACAGCACATGGCACATAAATGTTAACTCCCTCCTCTTCTTATTGCTTCCAGGTGAATACGTTCGTTTTCTTTCCTTCCCTGTCTGCATTTCCAAAAACTAAGTCCTCGGTCCTTTGACCTGGTTTCTTTACACTCTACACTTACATATTATGACATGTGTGAACCCAACTCCTCCAGAAAGATGTTTTGAATTTATCTGTGCCCATCTCTAAGGGCCCACATCTCTAAATTTGGCCAGTTATTTCTACTTGAGAATCCCACTGCCTACCATATAAACTAATCCTCTGCTCACAAAACTAAGAGTGAAAAGTAAAAGACTGGGGTTGGCATAAAATATTACAAAGGCGGAATTGATAGGATGGATGATAAAGAAGCTAATTTCATGGTTTCAAGCTTGTCTGGGAAAATTAGAAAAATTGAGAAGATTCTCATAGATCATGTCCAAAATTTGCCCCCTTTTTCTCTACCCTCATTCTTCAGACATGAAACTTGAATCCTTCTATTTTCCTAACCTACAAAGCCCAAAATGTTTGCATTCCTTTGAATTCTCACATTTAAATGCATCATTCTTTAATCAGAAAAAGCACCCAAAACACCTTTAACATAAATTTTCTTGGCCATGAATTAATACTTTAAAATTATTTCTATCCTGCGTACTTTTCTTCAAAAATTACTTAACTTTTTAATATAGTTACTAATCATTATATTAATTTCTCTTGGAAAGCAATTCTTAAAACTATAAGTCTAAAAAACTGTGTAACATATTCAAAATATTACTAATTTTAAAACTTAAAAAACCCAGATGGAAAAAAATAAACAATTAGTCTAAAGTTTATTTTAAAAAATGGCTTTCTTCTTTGGTTGAATATATTATATTTCAAATGGAAATATTTGATTAAATTACATTTTCTTCACTGTGATCAAAACAGAGTAACTGCAGGGTAGTAAAACTGATTTTGATTTGCTTATTTTACCTGAGTAGCTTTATCTTTCATACATGAAGGGTAATGAACATGAGGATCCCGTGGCCACTGTCCTGTGAGATAAGGTCCTGTTATCGTATCCAAAGAAGAGGTTCGCCTTATTGTACTAGAGGTTCGAACTTGCTGAGATTTTGGCCTGTCCACTATAAAAAGTGAAAAAGAAATTAGATTAGTCACTAACAAATAAAGTAAAATTTTAAATTATTTAAACTTCAGTTTGTGGAATGTCATCCTATCAATTTTCCCTACTATATATGTTTATCCTAATTGCCCCCTTATATGATCTGATGAAATTTACAGACCCTCTCCAAAGACAAATACATTCACATATTAAATCTTACATACATTTGCAGGGCTGTCACAGACCCTATGAAACCCATCCATTTCAGAGACCTAATCCACAATCTACACATCATCTCCACTGCCCTTCCTTTATAAGACTCCATCACACCTCACTGGACTGCCACTTTCCTAACTGCTATCCCTGCATCCATCTCAGCTAACTCTCACAGTGCCTTCTACTTCCACTGCTAAAAAAACACTTCCATGGTTATTCATTCTTTAACGTAAAGCCTGCATTTTTCACAATTTGGCTCCCATGTACCTCAATGTTTAACGTTCTTGCTACTTCTCCATACACCCATGCTAACTACCAAGTGCCACACAAACTAACTGTAGTTACCCGAATGTAAAACACTCCCTTCTCTGTCTCTATACATTCTATTATTTCCTGAGCCTAGAACTCTCTCCTTCCCTGTTCACTTGACATACAATTATTTAAGATACATGCACCCTCCTCTGCTTGCACAGAACCCTAAATTTACCTCTCCTCAACCACAGCATAAGTTCAATCCTTACAAACTAAAAAGGAGTTGATGCTCAATAAGTATTTAATGAATTTATTCAAAGCTACATAAGAATAACATGAATAATGAAACTAAACTTTACTTCAACTTCCTCATTTATGAATGAATAATCTGAAGCCCCAAGGGTAAAACTGAATTATACAATGAAACAGCATTGCAAACAGGTAACAGAGATAAAAAGGACAAGATCACCAGACATTCTACACAGTTCAATCCAAACACTGCAAGAAACTACTTCTCTTCTCCATGTGGGCACCATAGGTACCTCAGTTGAAAATTAAAATGATCATATTGAACTAAATGATAGGGTATTTTTCATATACATACCCTGAATAATTTACTCTAATGTGCATTCTGTAATAAAATCCAGTGGATTATAAACTCCAAGGCTCAGAGTCTTATTCCGACTCATATCTCACATCAAACAAAATGTCTTGCACATTACAGTCAAGAAACCTTTATTACTGAATGCTGTCCTTTATCTTCCTAAAACCAAAATACATCGTTTTGTTTTGTTTTAAAATCAGAAAACAAAAGAAAATGCAGCACACTCTAATGTTATGTTTTATTTCTCTTACAACTGCAGTTTTGACTTCTCTGACTCAAGGGTAGTAGAAAAGATGTAAAACTTACCAAATTTCCTCCCTATCTTTATTATTTAGCTCTAATTTTATTTTACCATAGGCAGAGAATCTAGGATGACCTATTTCTACTCTTTGGAATTACCTGCAATTTTCTTTGTGACCAAAAATATGGTAAATTTTTATAAACATTTCATGAGTCATGGAAGATATACTTTCTGCTTTCAGAACATGTAGTTCTTTGTCTTACACATCAACTAAAATAAAAACACAGAAAATAGGAGTAATATAATTATCAGCGTGATCTGTCATAGATTTAGAGAAGTACTCTAAAATTTCAAAACTACTATGGAGATCTAACAATTTCCTTTATTTCTTTCAATTTTATCATTTATATTTTAGTTCTATATAATTTGGTTCATATTAATTTTTGACATTATGGCTTATGCCTCACCATTTTAATCTGCTCCATTTATTACTTTTTACTTTTAAACTCTGTCAAATTAAACATTATGACCCCCTTTGGCTACCTTTCCGTTATAATTTGCCTGGTATGCCTATTCTCTCATTTTCAATTTCTTTGAATCATTTTGTTTATGTGTGTGTCTCTTTTTGTAATAAGACTTCTTTGTGTAAAACTTAAATTCAACCCACTTATGTTTATAGTTATAACATTTATGATTTAACTTGTCATGTAATCTTTTTCTTCCTGTTTTGTAATGCCTCCTTGCTACTTATTTTGTTTGGTTCTTCTCTCTTCTTACCTCCTTCCCCACCATAGGTACTTTGGAAAATATGTAGACTATTTTTAATTCTACTACTAGAAGTTATTTCTGTTGATTCCTTTTTTTTTTTAATTCTTATTTTTTAATTAATTATTTTGTTACAGATGTTTCTCTCCTTTTTCCCCCACTGATTCTCCCCTCCCCCTCCCTCCCTGTCCTGTCCCCAGCTTTGTTGTCCATGTCCATTGTTCATGCACACATGAATATAAGTTCTGTGGTTTATCTCTCCCCCACAACCCCCTCTTCTGGGGATTGTCAGTCTGTACCCCACTTCCACATCTCTGGAAATACCCCGTTCCTCATACTGTTATGTTCATTCTATTCCACAAATAAGTGAGATCATGTGATATTTGTCTTTCTCTGCTTGGCTTCTTTCGTTTAGGATAATACTCTCCAGGTCCCACCATGTTGTCTCAAGGATAAGAGATTTTTTTTCTTACAGCTGCATAGTACTCCATTGTGTATATGTACCACTGCTTTTTTATCCATTTCTGTACTGATGGACACTTGGGCTGTTTCCAGATCTTAGCTATTGTAAATAGTGCTGCTACGAACATGGGGGTACATATAATCTTTCTGATTGGTGTTTTAGGGTATATTTCTAGAAGTGGGATCACTGGGTCAAATGGAAGTTCAATTTTTAATTTTTTGAGGTAATACCATATTGTTTTCCATAATGGTTTAACCAGTCTGCATTCCCACCAGCAGTGTACTAGAGTCCCCTTTTCTCCACACCCTGGCCAACACTTGTTGTTTGATGATTTGTTGATGGCGGCCATTCTGACAGGTGTGAGGTGATACCTCATTGTTGTTTTTAATTTATGTCTCTCTGATGATTAGTGATGTTAAGATTTCTTCATATGCCTCTTAGCCATTTGTATGTCCTGTTTGGAGACGTGTCTGGTTAGTTCCTCTGCCCTTTTATTTGGGTTCTTCATCTTCCTTTTGTTGAGTTGTATGAACACTCTATATATATTGGAAATTAACCCATTATCTGATATATCATTGGCAATTATGCTCTCCCTTACAGTGGGTTGCCTTTCTATTTTGGTGGTTTTTTCTTTTGCTGTGCAGAAGCTTTTGAGTTTGATGTAGTCCCATGTGTCATTTTCTCCTTGGTTTCTGTTGCCTTAGGTGATATATCAGTGAAAATTCTGCTGCGTATAATGTCTGAAATTTTGTTGCCTACATTTTCTTCTAGGATTTTTATGGATTCATGAGACACATTTAAGTCTTTTATCCATTTTGAGTTTATTCTTGTGGATGGTGTAAGTTGATGGTCTAGTTTCATTTTTTTTTTTTTTTTGCATGTAGCTGTCCAATTTTCCCAACACCATTTATTTAAAAAAGCTGTCTTTACTCCACTGTATGCTCTTGCCACCTTTGTCAAATATTAATTGAGCATATTGCCTTGGGTTCATTACTGGGTTCTCTGTTCTGTTTCACTGGTTTATATGCCTGTTCTTGTGCCAGTACCAGGCTGTTTTGATTACAGTGGCTTTGTAATATAACCTGGTACCTGGTAATGTGATCCCTCCAACTTTGTTCTTCTTTTTCAAGATTGCTGTGGCTATTCGAGGCCTTTTTTGGTTCCATATGAACGTTTGAAGTATTTATTCTAGTTCTGTGAAGTATGTCGTTGGTATTTTGATGGGGATAGCACTGAATCTATCGATTGCTTGGGTAATATGGACATTTTAATGATGTTAATTCTTCCAATCCATGAACAAGGTATGTGCTTCCACTTTTTTAGATCTTCCTCTATTTCTTTTTTCAATGACCTATAGTTTTCTGCCAATAGGTCCTTTATTTCATTGGTTAAGTTTATTCCTAGGTATCTTAATTTTTTTGCCACGATGGTAAATGGGATTGTTTTTTAGTATCTCTTTCTTTGAGTTCATCTTTGGTGTATAAGAATGCCATAGATTTCGTGATGTTAATTTTGTATCCTGCTACTTTGCCAAATTCATTTATTAAGTCTAGTAGATTTTTGATGGAGTCTTTGGGGTTTTCTACGTACAGCATCATGTCATCTGTGAATAATGACAGTTTCACTTCCTCCTTTCCGATTTGGATCCCTTTTATTTTTTCCTCCTGTCTGATTGCTGTGGCTAAGACTTCCAGTACTATGTTAAATAAGCGAGGCGAAAGTGGGCATCCTTGTCTTTTTCCTGTTCTTAAGGGAAATGCTTTTAATTTTTGCCCATAGAGTATGATATGGGCTGTAGGTCTTCCATATATGGCCTTTATTATGTCGAGATATGATCCCTCTACTCCCAGATTGCTGCGAGTTGTTATCAGAAATTGGTGCTGTATTTTGTCAAATGCTTTTTTAGCATCTATTGATATGATCATATGATTTTTATCTTTTTTTGTTTATGTGGTGTATCACATTTATTGATTTGCGAATATTGCACCAGCCTTGCAACCCTGGGATGAATCCCACTTGGTCATGATGAAGAATTTTTTTGATGTACTGTTGGATTCAATTTGCTAATATTTTGTTCAAGATTTTGGCATCTATATTCATCAGGGATATTGGTCTGTAGTTTTCTTTCTTTGCAGTGTCTTTTTCTGGTTTTGGAATTAGAATTATGGTGGCCTGATAAAACGAGTTTGGAAGTCTTCCTTCTTCTTGAATTTTTTGAAATAGTTTGAGGAGAAAGGGTATTAGTTCTTCTTTGAATGTTTGGTAAAATTCCCCTGTGAAGCTATCCTGGCCTGGGCTTTTGTTTGCTGGGAGAGTCTTGATTACATCTTCAATTTCTTCTGTTGTTATTGGGCTGTTCAAGTTTTCTCTCTTTTCCCGGTCCAGTTTTGGGAGACTATGTGTTTCTAGAAATTTGTCCATTTCACTTAGATTGTCGAATTTGTTGCATATAATTGTTCATAATATTTGTTAACAATCCTT